GAAAGACTGCAGGGACAGAAGAATGAAGATACATGGTAGGCCACGGTGGAAGATGGGGTAAGAGACAATAGATGGAGAATGGTGTAGTACAACAGTGACTTAGGCAGATGCTGGGATTGTTGGTCTGAAGTGGAGAAGCAAAATTCACAGGAAGGCCAGCAGAATGTGCTGCTTTTCTAGCAAGCCTGCATGCAAAAGGGGGTTTAACATTGCAGGGTGGGCAGCAGACACATAGAAGATGTGGCTCTGCCAGGCTCAACAGCCTTGCCTGTGTTTCCTGATTGTAATAAGGGTAGGGAGTACTTTAGAAGTCCTGCACATTACCTTGGTGCTACTTAATTTCCACTGTGTGGATTAGCTAAGGGTTCAGTCCATTCACTGGCTTTGCATGTACTTTGTCTCTTTCAAATATGCATGAATAACAGCCATTCCTGAGACAAACCTGGGAGTGACTTTGCATAAGCTCCTCATGTACACTTTTTCCCAGGTGAGAGAATAAGAGCAGATTACAATCAGGCCAGGGAATGGAGTATGATTTGGGCTCTTCGTGCTTGTCTACTGTGTTTACCTAAGGCTACTTACCTCCTGAGGTACAAGATGAGAACATGCTTCCTCCCACATGATTGCCCGTCAGTTATTTTGTTGAGGTTTCTTTGTGAACAAGCAGTATCCAGAAAGTCTCTGCTTTGCTTTTTATCAGGCATGTGGGTGACTGCATTGGTTTGAAGAACAAACTGTGCAATGCTTCTGTACTATCATATTACTTCACACTTTTGCACAATTCCTATGTATTCTCACACTCTGGTACAGGTCCAGGCAAGGAAGATCAGTCAGAGCAGGGACTAGCTTGAACCTGAATCTAAGGTCATGAGAAATTCTGTTCTGTGGAACCATCACCTTAGTGCTTATTGGTAGTGAAACAAATCAAGTTCTAGGGAAGGATAGAGGCCAAACCAGAGGGCTGCTGCATAAAACCATGGTTCATTCGTGCTTAGATTACTGGATGATGTGCTGGTTTTTTCATCTTGGCATATGAGAGATCTGGAGAAGGTCTAGAGGAGGCAAAACTGGTTGCTATAAGGTATGGGACAGCTTCTGTATTAGGAATAAGGCAGAAGAATGAGAGGAATATAATACAAGAATATAGAGCTGAGTGGCATGGAGAGGGATCAGTTGTGTAATCTCCCTTCAATGCAAGTACTAGAGGCCACATGTGAAATTACTTGGAACTAGATGAAAATAAATGGAAGCTGCTAGGAAGTGAACAAACCTCATCAGATTTCAGCCAGTTTGCATGGCTGCAAATAGCTGGAGGTAGGGGAAGACACAAGACAAGCATCACCTGCTTGTCCTGTTCTCTTCTGTGGGTGTCTGTTAATGCCCACTGCTGAGCATGGGATACCAGGCTGGATGGACCCTCTGAGTCTGGCCTGTCTTGTGTTTGTGCCCCTACAGGCAGTGCCACGTACAGTGAGCTACAGTTGGCGTGACAACGCAGGCATGTGCTCAGGCACAGTGAGCTGCAACAGCAAAGACAAGGACATATGCTCCCCATGACATGGCAGAATAGCTCTGATCTGTGGTTATTGCTGATAGCCTTGAGTGTTAACCTTCCGAGTGTCGGGAGTGCAAAAGAAGGCTTTAGATAACACCCCGGTCAGAGCTCCCAGGGAACTGATATCAAAGGTAGCCCGTGCTTCTGGTCACCTTGGTGCCACACCATGCAGCCCCGCTGAGCACATACCAGTCTGGACTCATAAACAGAGCAAGTCAGGTACTTTGTTGTCACAGCTCTGCTGTGTGGCTTCAGCCTCAAGGTAAGGGGTCACTTAATATTGCTGTCCTCGGGCGCTTTGGTAGAGGTTTGCTTGATGATTTAAACTTAGCATTTTCACAATCAAGACAAATACTGACCAGGGAACCAAAAACACCACCTCCTTTTCATCCCTGCTTGTGAGAATTTCTCTGGGGAAAAACAGAAAAATTGGGGCATGCTGCAGCTGGTCTGACAGCTGCCAAAAATGTGAGTGGATTATAAATAAGTTATTTCTCCCCATAGAATAATTATTGGCAAGGGCATAAGACTAATCTAGAGTCTTATCTCTAGTCTAGAAATAGCTGCTTGATAGAAAAATAAAATACATTTGGGGGGGGAACCCCAACAAACAAACCAAACCCAAAGTAATTCAAGAAAAAAAATACCCCTGACACAGGAATAGTAAGCTTTTCGTAAAATAGCTGGAGAGGAGAAGCAAAGAAGACACCTTTAGTGAAATTTCTCCCAAAGAAAGCAACTTGAACAAGATTTTCAGGGGATCTTGGTTCTTAATCTGTTAGATGCTGAATACTATTTTGAAAGATAATTCTTGCTACAGAAGCATTGCACACTTGTTTCATTGACCTATGCTGGGCTTTGAGCTTTGACGTGTGAAAATGGGTGACTACCAGCTAAATGTGGAATTACACAAATTGCTAGGAATTTCTAAAACAAGTGCATTGGGCAATTAGTTACTGAATAGCTTTATTCTTGTGCAGAAATCTTGCCTCTTTCTCTCCTGCAAATTCACTGTGCCAAATCTTTTCAGAGTTCATAGGGGGTATTTTGTATGTTCCTAAAGCACAGAAATGACCCTGGAATATATGCATGTATTTCAAAATAGCACATTCTGGTTTACAGCAAGTGGCAGCTCCTTTCGTGTTCCAGCCTCCTTAAACCAGTCTAGAAACAGAGCTGTCAGTTACATGTGAGAAACCTTGACCTATGAAATAATTTTGTTACACTTTAATGCATTACTGTTATGCTGTGACTAAGTGATAAGATTGTCTTTGAAAAAGATACTGGTTTGTCCAGTTCTATGTAGAACAGTTTCAAGGGACCTTAAATTTCCCTCCTGGCGGTCAGTGTTGGTGGCATGTGGTGCTACTGTGAGGGGAAATTGGGGCCTAAGAAAAACTGCATGCTCTGCATGCCCTTAGCTGTACGTGTTTCTAAGCTTTTCAGGAATGCTACTAAATTCTTTGTCTTGATTGATTAATTCTTGATCTTGATAAAGCGAAGGAAAGAAAACTTAAAGTTAGGCTGAAGAGCTGCAGAGTCACTTAAGCTATGGCAAGGAAATGAATCCAAGAATCTCCAAAGGCTTTCTGCAGCATTCTTTATGAAACTGTGTGCTATTGAATTAAGCGCATTGAACTATGTTCCTTTTCCAGTTTTGTATTACCCACTTGTATTAGAAAATCAGTGTTTTGCCTTGAAGGAAAATATGTACAGAAAAGATGCCCAGTCCTCACAGTTAGGCTGTACCTCCTACTTCAGGGTTTCTTCTCTATTCATTATTCCAGTCAAGAAACCATGAACATTGGCTTTTGTGGGATATTTTCTGCTTTTGGGCATATGCATGCCAAGCTGCTATGTCTGGCACATCATAATAGGATACAGCAGTTATTAAATTAAGCTATCAGTTGCCAAATGCCAGTATAGATTAAAAGAACATAATCAAACACTGACTGTAAGATTGTAGAGACTAAAGGCTGTGTCTTCAAATGATCCTGCTATTCTGAACTCGTGTAAATATTTATGAATATATTGACAGTAAGATAAGGAGGGAAATTCCCTACCAGCTTCATGTGCAGTTTAATCTTTGACTAGGACATAGCTGCTGTTTGTTTGAAATGAAAGTGCATGTGTTTACTTTTTCCCCAAACCACATCAATGTTGAGATCACGATGGAGGTCTGAGTGCAGTGCATGTGAGCCGAGCTTTCCTCTGCATGCTGCTCTTGGGGAACAAGGAATCTGCAAAGGCCCAGTCGTGGGAAACAAGCATGGCTGTAGTCCCTTGAGCCTAAGGACTGTACTTGTTTGCATCCTGCTACATTCTGAAAGGTAGCATACATGCTGTGAAGTAGAAGGCACACTAGATTTGGCTATCATCCCCATACACTGTCATCTGAGGAGAGAACAGTGATCCTCGCCTGTTTTCTAAAGGGAACCAGGGGAAATGCATGCACAGCCACCCAGCCCTCTGCGCTACTTCTCTACGTGGACACCTCACATGTGAACTCAGAGTGACTGTATGTTTGCAAGATATCCACCGCTATCTTACAGTATAGCGGGCTACTTTGTACTTGCTAGGAACATCTTTTTCAGGGTGTGTTTGTGCAGACTAGTTAGATCTCTGCTAATGCTCTCAGTTATTGGTCCTTTAGCCTGGATAGAGAAGCTGTGCAAGATCTCATAATAAGATGTTCTTAGTATGCACTAGGGTGCCCGTTTAGTATGCACTAGGGTGCCCGTATGAGTCTTTACTGCAGAGTAGCCAAAGATATGAATGCAGACAGAGCTTCATAGTCTGCCTGGGTATGATTCCTCTTCGATTCTCATCTCTCCAAGTTTACTTCTTAACAGATGTTTTCAAGACACAGTGGTGGAAGTGGCTGATGCCTCTGGGCAATGAAGTTGTTGAAAATCTTTAGTTTGGTCTCATTGATTTAGAAAGACAACCCTCTTAAAACAGAGAACAATTTCAAGATAATGAGTTGAGAGCTGGGAAAAGCAAAATTCACACTTCTAAAATAGTCCCAGGAAAATGTAAGATTTTGCTTTTTTCTTTCCTCAATTTTCCAGGTTACTAGGACAAAACAGTTTCAATCACTTATCTGTCTGGGAGGTCAATGTTCCTTTGAATAACAAATGGGTGCAGTGAACCTTTACTTCTCTCCACTTGAACCAAGCTGCCTAAACACTGCAAAAAGAAGTATGAACACAGGACAGATACGGCATTGGCAGGGACACGGGAAAGTGGGGCACGTGCTCTGGGCCAAATCTTTCTTTAGAGGAAGTCATGTGAAAGCACAAACACATGTAGGAAGTCACAAATATAACTGGGAGTGAAACTGGGTCTCACACTTGTAAAGTTGCCTAAGCTGCTTTTTCTGTCAAGCCTAGCAATTATCTGGGCTTACCCATGGCTTTTTTACCTCTATCATTTAGCGGGGCAAGTAATGTACTTCAGGGATCCAGCTGCTGTCAGAGGTGGCATGGCCACAGCTTGCATCTTCTGATTCAGAGGATGCCAGGACATCTACAGGGAGAACCTTGCTGATGTCGGTCCAGGTTATGGTGTTGGTGACAAATGTGGGGGTTTTTTTAGTTGAAGCAAAAAAAAAAACAGGTAAAATGTTTCAGTATTGATGTCAAACCATTTATTATCATTAAATATGTGGGTTCTAGTTTTGGTGGATAAGCTAATAAACAGTTTTTTAAGTTTCCCTGTATGAAAAAGGTGGAGATACTTTTGGCAGTAGCAGAGTGAAGCTGGATGCCAGGTACTGCATGGAAATTGTATAGAACCAAAATACTTGGTCAGGTCTTCTAATACTTGAATTTGTGATTCTGCCTTAGATGAAATGATGTGCATTGGAGGGGTGGGTGAAGCACTTGATGTTCCCTTAAGACAGAAAACATCTGGAATTTTATATTTGTTTTACCATAATTGAAAGAAATGCTGAAGCATCAAAGCACTACTGTGGCCCATGAAGGATCACACTGGGAGTGTTCTTCTAATTATGAAAAACCAGCAGAACATGAAGTTCTCATGGGTGAAACAATGTAGTATGTCATGATAATTTGGTACAGAGTGATGGTGCACCTTAAGCCTGGCTAGAGGGGAGGGTGGATGCTTGAGAGGTACTGTAAGAAGTGTTCTGCCATGAGTTGTCAGCACTGGAGGTAGCAGCAATGAATTCTGACACCAGAGGGATATTACTCCTTAAGCTCCCCAAAATCAGGAGACAGCAGAATTAGGGCTATCTGACAGGTTGCATGAGTAGGACATGGGTGGGTAGAACTTAATGACCTGAGGTGAAAGGTGGTAATGAGGAAATTTCTTGCAATAGGGAATGGTTCAGGTGCTATGGCTCTGTCTGTGCTTCCTGGCATATTTTTCAAAGTTTATCTTGGTAAAACATAACATCAACTTGTTGCAGTTCTCAGAACTATGTTGTGGCTGGGAGGGAAACAAACTGACCTTGGCAACAAATGCACCCAGGATTGCTGATACTGTGTAATGCAGAGCAGGACTTGAAAGTGGAATGAATGACTACCAGTGAAGTCTGCCCCTCTTTTCAGGCCAAAACCTTCTCAAGTGGGGACTGAGTGATTTGCCTAGCTACCATTATATTGTGGGAAAGGGTTATTCATATAAAAGCAAATGTAGTGCTCTACCTCTGTGCCCTGTGTTGTTGCAAGTACAGACAGAGGGCATTGTGTGCTTCTGGAGGGCATTGATGTCCATTAGAGGCTAAGTTTTACTATTTTATTTTTAAAAGGAAAATTTAAATAACAGAGGAGAAACCCATGCAAATAATTCATTTCACTGACAGTTTCCACTTAAGTCTGACAAAAGTCTCTACCCTGTGTGATAGAGATGTGGATTCCTCAGATCTCAGCTGCAGTATAGTGCCATACATCTCAATGCATGAGCCTACAGACTAGTGGTCTAGAAGAGTTTTTTTCTGTAAAAATATGAAGCCATGTAAAGACGCTTAAATCTGTGCACCAATAAAATGGTTTTGCCAGTTAATGCAAAGAAAGAAGTTAGCATTCTTAGTCAACTGCATACTCTGACAGCTATGAATAGAGATATTGCAAAGTCATGCTGAAAATCTTGAAGCTTTTTACTTGGGCACTTAACTAATCTAAATGATACCGTTTGCAATAAATCAGGAAGAAAATATAAGTCAATTGCATAAATTTGTAGGTCAAAGGCTGGCTGCCAGGCCAAGTGCAGATTGCACAATGACTTCCTCTCTGGAAAGTTTGTGCAGGCAAAGTGTTGGGCTGAATTATTTGTTTCCAGACAAGGTACACAGCGAAACAGTAACATTGATATTTATTCCATCTAATGTCTTTGGGATATCTATAAAAAAAAGCCCCCAAATTGCTGTATTCAATGGTCTTATTTTACAAGCAAGTAAAGGACAGTGGCTTATTGTTGTATGTGAACATTTTCCTGTGAAGAATTGTACTGTGTGCAAAAAAAAATCTGATAGAGCTTGTGGTTTTGGAAAGACATCCTGGCTTTATTTGCCAAGGTGGAGATCCTGGTTTTCCCAATTCTAGTGGGAAATGGAGAAGATCTCTTCTTGTACATAGAGGGCAACTTTATTTCTTCAGGTTTGCACACATAAGCAGTAAAATACTTCCTATAAAGCCTGCCAAACCATTGTATGGTTTCCTCTCGTACGTGTGCTATGATCAAGTTTAGACTTGCACATCTTTGTTCTAAAATGTTTGACATGCAACACTGCAATCTGTTGAAGACAGTTTTTGAAAAACCTAGTAACAGGATGGTCTTAAATCACCCAACTGAATAAATGCCTTAGTTTCTCTGGAAGCTTAATTTTTCCTTGACTGTTATGGATACATTTGTTACCTGCTAATAAATATCTGGATAACGCATATAAAAGCCTTTGCTGCTGTCAAAAAAACAGTATGAGTTATTTAAGAGCTCTGTGCCAGTGCTACCTTGGATAAAAGCTTAAGAGACCTTAAAAACCCCAGCCCTCAGTCTGACAAGCATTTACTGAGTCAGATTTTCAGAGGGATCACTGTTAGTTGAATGTTGAGAGAAACAAGGGTTTCATATTTATTAAAACAATTTATTCTGGTGGAATTAAAATACATTATACAGTATCCTACTTTGATGTGGGTCTTGAGAGTATAGAATTCCTCATTAACTGTTCTATCTTTTATATCACATGGTTAAAAGTATGCATCTTAACTGGGTATCGGCAGTCTTCCTGATGCCCTGGAGGATGTAGCTTCAAAACAGATGGCCTCAGAGATAAAAATATGCAGCGCTTACCACTGGAACTAAACACTTTGGCACAGATTTATTTCGTTTGTTAAGGGCACTTTAAATTTAGCAAGCTTGATCGATTATCCCACTGAATTGAGTAAGACACCTTGGATGAAAATCCTGGCATGTTGTAAGCTCTACAGGAAGAAGTCTGACTCATTTTACTGCTACTGTGCAACAGGTTTCTAAGACTGTCTCACTGAAGAAAAAATATAAACTGAAGTTATATTTTTCAGACCCACTATATCCATGGTATAATAGTAAGGCGAAACTGAAACCACAAACTGCCCAATGTAGGAAGAAAGTCATCACATTTTCTTGTCCTTTTGTGGCCAAAAAGATCATTCACTAGCTTTAAAACAAGCATACAGTGTTATCCTTTATTCCAACCTGTAATTAAAACTACCAGTGTTACTTTCAAATACAGAGGAAAAAACCCAGTTCTGCCACAGGAAGCATTGCATTCTATGAAATCTCAGGTTTTTAATTTGCCCTGAGGGTTAAAAATGAAGATACCTGTTCAATGCAGGACTTCTGCCATGCGTGGCTCCTATAAGCCTGCTCTTGCTGTAGTCATGTAGTCAGCTGAGCATTACTAAGGAAAATCACTACATCATTCATTCACAAGCTGGGAAGGGAAATATTTCTGCTGACTCATGCTTATAAGTATTTTCCTTGCTCCGCCTCCATTCATTACAGCTCCTCCTCTCCTCTCCTGGTGCTGGTAGCCTACTATATTTAAACAGTTCCCTTAGAGCAGAGACAGGATTCAAAGCTTGTAGTTTAGTTGGCTTTCCTGACTGTCAGGCACTTTCATCAAGATCTCACTTCTCATCGGACCTTCTGCTGAAGGTAAGAAGGCTATAAGTAACTGTAGAGAGGTCTGTAACATTGCTTTCTGAATATCACAAGGGTGTTTTTAGAAAGGTATTATTTTTATGTACTATTAAAGTGATTTTTTTTCCACATACTTCAGTTGTGCTTGTGGGTAACTGGTCTGGCCTCCACTGGCAAGTGGAGGGAAAAAACACACTTCTGAAACTTGCAGGCAAGTATAAAATGTGAAAGCTATTGAGATTTCTGGTTTTAAAAGCACCAATGAATTAAATTTTAAAACTGCTCATGAAACAAATGGGTTGATGAAAAAAAGCTGGAGAAAACTGTTGCCTTTGTGTTAGCATTGTTCTTGTTTAAACCTGAGTGCCATGGTAGCTCTTTCAGTCTTTTCCGTTATTTATATATCCTGGCTGCACCGCTCCCTTGAACTCTCCCCATGTGCTGTACAGGCCACACTTGGTGGTCCTTACTTGAGCAAAAGTCTTATTGATGTTGTAAGGAGAGCTACTTGCATAAGGCTGATGTGACCTGCTTTTTATTTCTGCTAAAGATCACCTAGTGTCATTGTCTTGCTAAATGCATCTTTGCTTTTTCTTTTACTCAAAACCTGTTTCAGTTGTGCAGCCTGGAACTGCTAGGGGCCGCGCTGACCGACTTTGTGAGTTATATTCCCTCTAGGCTGAAGGCTGTGTCAGGGAGGTATGCAGAGTTTGGCCCAGATTGAACTGGGTGCTTTTCCAAGCCAGAACAACTATGTAACATTGCATAGATGCTGAAATGCTTTGGAAGCAGCAAGGAGATAAACTGTGGAGCTTGCAGCTTGCTCTCAAATGAAGAGGAAGAAAGAGACACCCGTTGAAGTAGGAAGCCTAGAGCAGGAGCCAGAACAGGGATCAGTGTCACTAAATTGAGTAGGTGTGAGTGCCCAGCAGCCTATTCTACATAAAAGGAGGGTGAGAAGGGCAGTCTTGGGTTTCTTGCTAGCTCAGGCTTTCTCTTGCTGCTATCTAGTTCTGTATAGATTTGAAATGAACCTCCATGTCCTATATGGTTTCCAGTAGCCTCTGCAAGAACAGGCCTTCACCTGCTACACAGTATTAGCTGTACAGGTTATCAAGAGATATGTGGTCCCTTGATTCTAAGATTGCCAAAAAAAAAAAAAAAAAAATTTAAATAATCCACCTTCTAACGGCAGTAAAAGTGAACATCTGGCCTGAAACTGAAATGCCTGAGATGCTCTGAGCTCAGTCTTACCCCCAGAATTCAGACATTTAGCCTGCAGGATAGGAATAGCTATAAATAGGGTCAGCATCTGGTTCACTTTCTACTTAAAAAGAAGAATTGTTAACTATGAATTATAGAGACAGCAGCTAGAAGATGTGGAAGGGACTTCTCCCATTTGTAGAGACATACTAGGATAAATAAAAACATGTCTGATGGTTAATCTTGTGTTGATAGAGTTGTCCAGTGTCAAAACTTGAGGAAACAAAGTGTGTAACACTAAAATGGTCATTATGGGGTTTTTGTGAACCCAGATCCTGAATAAAACCATGGCTAAAAATGGTCATGTATGTGCATGGATCTAGCAATTTTAGCAGAATAACAGTTGTGCTCCTCTAGCCATTAGGGTTTGGTTTAATTCCAGCAAATGCTCCTTTTTCATCTGTCAGAAGGTACAGAATGGAGGAGGAGGGTGAAATGAGTGTTATCACTGAGGCTGCGGCTGCTGGCTTTGCTGTCTATCAGGGTGGGGTAGGGTGGCATAGTGCAATGGCCAGGAGCCAAGGCAACCTTCCTCTAAAGCGAACAAGACTGCCAGGCTGAGTTCTACTGTCTTGTGCCTTTTTTGTCCCCTTCAGGCTCCCCCAGAAAAATGCTGGCACACAACGGCATGACTTTGCGCCCAAGTCTTACAAATGGGCTTGCAGGCTTGTTTTTTATATGCTGGCTTTGCTCTCCTGGAACTGTTGCCATGTGCTGTACTGAAAACCCACGGATGTTGCTGGGTTACCACTGTCTACAGAGTGCATACAGTCTTTCTGTGCATGCTGTTGCAGAACGCTATGGAGCAGAAACCTGGTAGATTGCTTCCCTCTTCCAGACTCCCAATAGTTTCACAGAAGTGAGATGGGCACTCTGTGTTAGGAAAAATTAATAAGAACTTGTCTTCTTGTGTAGTATAGCTATGGAGAAGAAACCTTTGTTAACCAGGTACTGTGGTTTAGCTGATTTGAGGAGAATACTGTACTGGTCACACCAGTGTCCTGTTCCTTTGGTGTCTCTGGCCATCCCAAGTGCTAGTGCTGAATTCTACCAATTGCAACTCTGGAACTTTGTGGTAGAGAATTATTTGGGGGTAAATTTACGCAACAATCTGCTGAAGGTGGTGCAAGTTTTGGTTCATGCAGCAGAACCTACTCAAAAGGCTGGGCAAATACTTGGGCAGTTAGACTGTGCTGCTGCAGCTGCCAGGGTCGGGTGAAATACATCTTAAGGGGTTGATGCATGCCTTGGCTTGGACCCGACACATAGAAGTGTTCATCTTCTGTAGTGTATGCATCTATCTTTGAGTCTCAATTAAACTGGGAACCTGAGTTTTCTTGAAATCCAGCTCTCTTCAAAGCTAGATGCTTGAAAGGACTTAAATTAGAAAGCATGACTATTATGTCTTAAGTTCTTGCCCTGTCAGGCAAGATGCATGAGTCTCTTGGACAAATGTTTAGTTAAGTGGTAATAGGCAAGCAGTAAGTGTTATTAAACTGTGATCCAAAAGTTAAGACAAAGCTGCTAGTTCTGAGTTCAAGTTGTAAGCCTTATGTGCCTCTACTCGGATGATTCCAGTCCTCTTGGAATAGCTCTGTCTAGCCCAGCAATGGCTATATATCAGTCTATCTGAGAATTGTCGCATCATTGCAGGCAAATGCACTTACAAGATTCCTCCTGAAGCCTGGGACTCTGCAAATCTTAAACTCGCCTGTGGTTTTCTGGCTGCTCATTCAATCACCAAGGTCTTACTGCATTACTGTAGTTGCTGGTGATGTAAATGTCAGGCTTAAAGTGGAGCATTACACTTGTAGGATGACATTTACTGCAATACCTGTGTCAAAGGCAGTGATGTGCCAGACCTTATGGGAGTGTGCAGTGTGCTTGCCAAAGATCTTTCTGCACTTGAAAAGGGTGTGGAGAGCATGTCCCGCTGAACAAAGTCATGCCATTCAGTGAATTTTTATTTAGCTTTCCAAAATGAGAGTAATCTTTTTAGGAAAGACTGTGTTCTCTGTAGAATAACTTAAAAGCTTAAGCTGAATTTTGAAAACTTCATTTCTACTGTGGTAAAAAACTTTAAACTTCTCTAGATTACTGACAGTATAGTTCCCTGGAAAACTGAAGTCATTATTTGACATGGTAGGATTCCTGCAGGAATGGCAAAAAACTTTGATTCGCTGTACGCTGAATATCTGCGCAACAGTTAGATGAGTTTTGTACATTCCACTCTAATGACACCTTAGTCTCCAAGATAATAAATTTGTTGTGTATTTTGTTTAAAGACTTGTTATTTTCTTGTTCAGTCCTAGAAATCTCTATTTTCTGGGAAATTAAGAAAGAAGGTTCAGGAACTAAACTAGCACTTCTGAAAAACCCTTTTAGTGATGGAATGGCACATATTTGAAAATGCAGCCAACAGTTTTCCAGCCTTTGGTCAGAAGTCTTGAGTGAGGTTTGATATATTTATCAACAAATGCACAAGTTTCTTTAAAAGTACAAAGCATTCGTGAATGGGTTCATGATAATTATGGCGGTCTTTTTTTTTTTTTCTACATGGTATGGGCAGAAGCAAAGTTTTCTTTAACAATCTGCAGCACATCAGTTACTGTAGTTGGAGAGCTACTGAAGTTGCCAGCTGTTTTGGAAGGAGGGCCTGGAATTTGTCTGTGGAAGAGAAACTTGCCCTGTCAGGCAAGATGCATGAGTCTCTTGGACAAATGTTTAGTTAAGTGGTAATAGGCAAGCAGTAAGTGTTATTAAACTGTGATCCAAAAGTTAAGACAAAGCTGCTAGTTCTGAGTTCAAGTTGTAAGCCTTATGTGCCTCTACTCGGATGATTCCAGTCCTCTTGGAATAGCTCTGTCTAGCCCAGCAATGGCTATATATCAGTCTATCTGAGAATTGTCGCATCATTGCAGGCAAATGCACTTACAAGATTCCTCCTGAAGCCTGGGACTCTGCAAATCTTAAACTCGCCTGTGGTTTTCTGGCTGCTCATTCAATCACCAAGGTCTTACTGCATTACTGTAGTTGCTGGTGATGTAAATGTCAGGCTTAAAGTGGAGCATTACACTTGTAGGATGACATTTACTGCAATACCTGTGTCAAAGGCAGTGATGTGCCAGACCTTATGGGAGTGTGCAGTGTGCTTGCCAAAGATCTTTCTGCACTTGAAAAGGGTGTGGAGAGCATGTCCCGCTGAACAAAGTCATGCCATTCAGTGAATTTTTATTTAGCTTTCCAAAATGAGAGTAATCTTTTTAGGAAAGACTGTGTTCTCTGTAGAATAACTTAAAAGCTTAAGCTGAATTTTGAAAACTTCATTTCTACTGTGGTAAAAAACTTTAAACTTCTCTAGATTAGTGACAGTATAGTTCCCTGGAAAACTAAAGTCATTATTTGACATGGTAGGATTCCTGCAGGAATGGCAAAAAACTTTGATTCGCTGTACGCTGAATATCTGCGCAACAGTTAGATGAGTT